TATATATTTTTTTTTTTTTTGCATATTTTGAGAATTCTTGTTGATTGCATTTTTTACAGCTTGTCAAGCACAAGACTGGTGGTGGTGTCCCTTTTTTGTGTGTGTGTGGGTCTATATGATCGCGCTTACCCCAGCTGGTGGTACAATATTCGGAGGCGGTATCGCCTCTCTGATCCTCTAGTTTTCATCTGTTTTTCATCTTTCTCCAGATATTTAATGACTGCAGAAGTTGGCGTGATACCAGCAGAGGTCATCTTACTCAAAGTGGATTGTTTAAGTCCATTATTCCTTAAGTGGACTGCACTGTGAATCCTTCCTGCAAAGTTCCGAGAAAAGGTGACATCTTTATTATTAGTTTTCTGAAATGTCCGGGTTAAAGACTCCACTTTTTGTGTGTTGGTATTTTAATTAAAATTAAGTTTTGTTGATTCAGTTGCCCTTGGGCCCAGTCTATAATTCAGGCACTGTCTCAAGATTTGCATGTCTTCAGTGTTGCTAAAGTCTAGTTTGCCTTTCTCAGGGAAAATAGTTTCTGAGCCACCTTTACATACATAACAGTACTTTAAACAATTTTGACAATCACCCATGTAATGTAGTAGTTTGACTTTATGCATGTGTTATATCTTATGTGTAGAGTTCACGTCATCAATTATACACTTGAGTTAGTACAGAAGTAATAAAGAGCATATGGTCTCTCAAACCACCAGCTACTCAAGTCACTTTATTATAACCACTGTAACAACTAATTATAGAGTCAGTGACATAACTCAGTGCTCTTTTAATCAACTCTGTGTCCCCATGATTTGCTTTAAAGCAAGCATCAAATTCAGAATAGCAGCCCATTGCTATGCACTGAGCAAAACGTTTTTGCATTTTGTCTCTAGTGTATTTTGTTTTTGCTGGAAACACTTGACCAGAAAATGGTGCTTTTTCTATTTGTTATTTCAAAGCTTTGGTAAAGTGTCGTGTGTCCCGAAGACTTTCATCAACATTGGCACATGCAGAGTGGGCTTGGCTATCCCCATTAGTAGTTAAGGTGCCAACTGTGACCTCTCCAGAAATATCCTCAAAAATCTGTTGCATGGCATGTTTTTCATCCCCGATGCTATCCTCTTCTCATAGAGACATCTTCCCTTCTACTTCTGAGCAGTACGGCAGAGCTTGTTACCAGAGTAAACACCAATAACATCCTTCTGGCTGGTCACATTCTCTGCTACAGTGTACACAGTCTGAGTGGCTGGCTGGTCACATTCTCTGCCACAGTGTACACAGTCTGAGTGGCTGGCTGGTCACATTCTCTGCTACAGTGTACACAGTCTGAGTGGCTGGCTGGTCACATTGTCTTCTACAGTGTACATAGTCTGAGTGGCTGGCTGGTATGGTGTTTTGTTCCCTCCGCTGAACAGACTATTATTGTATCTCTCATCTCCTTCCACTGCTATAGGCTGTCCTCCATATATATATATATATACCCTGTGAGATCTTGAATGTGACATAAGTTTTCATGGTGTTGCTGCATGTCAGCCTTGTTCAATTCTGTTATCACTGCACTGACTTTGTTAGCTTGTGTCTGCATGGCTGATGGGCTGGGCGGGGTCACATTGCTTGCCATTAGGATCTGCCTCATTGCTGTGTTAGGGATCATGTTCTGTGACAGGCCATAACTTGCAAGCCTGCATTCACTGTTACTTATCTCCAGCCACGCTGCTTGCTTTGGACTTCATTGTATAGTTTCTACTTCCCTGTCCTGTACTGACATGTGTCACATTTTAGTCCCGTTGACCAAGTTACTCCCCACTTGTTCTCTGCCTCTTTGTCCCAAACCATTCAGCCAGCTAGTGCTCTCGGGTGTGTGCTCTGACAAGACTTTGTTGACCAGATTGACAATTTTTTCTCCTGAAACCAACTTGTATTCATCATCTGTGTGTGTGTGTGTGTGTGTGTGTGTGTGTGTGTGTTGGGGGGGGGGGGGCACTGGACAAACTAAACTCTCTGGCTGGGCCCTTCTATGTCTTAGTGTCACAAGTGTATCAGGATTGCTGCTGAGGGTTGTTGATGGCCCGACAGGGGGTGGAGAGGAGGCTGCCTGGTACAACTCTTAGCTGGGTCTGATGTATCTTCTCACAATGGGCTCTAGAGGGCTGTCAGACATCAGGATTGCTGCTGAGGGTTGTTGATGGCCCGACAGGGGGTGGAGAGGAGGCTGCCTGGTACAACTCTAAGCTGGGTCTGATATATCTTCTCACAATGGGCTCTGGAGGGTTGTCTGACTACTGTCTTCTAAAGGCTAGCTTGTGTCCCTTCACAAATACATCTTTTCTTTGTGTTTTCCAGGTACCTTTACTGTACAGCATGGTTAGCAAGTGCCTACTGAGACAGGAGCCAGGGACAGGGTTTTTATAGTATTATCTCTCCCAGGTGTGCAGAAAAACAGGAAACTGCATGGCCCTAGTGCAAGGCGGGGGGGGGGGGGGGGGGGGGGGGGTATACCCAGCTTAGTGGTGAGTATTGTTATGCAGAGAAAGACATTTTCCTGTGTCCTCACAACGCACACAAACAACACAACACTTGTGACAATTAGCCTTGCACTTGAGTTTAAAGTAAAAATATTTTTAAATCTTTTTATTAATAATTTTCCACTTCTCTCACTTTATTCCTCAGCAAAGTGCACCTGAACTACACTATAGCTAATAAGTCCCCGGTCACTTTAATAGCACACGCTGTCTACATCAGACGCGCTAATGCGCACGTCCCCGACAGTGTTAATGATAGGGGGATTACGATGGACAGCGCATGTTGTCGACATTCGTATACATGTGTACAGTCACTGATTTCAACAATTGCTAATCTATATGTATATATATATATTTATTTATCTATTTATTTGTCTGTTCTATGTTCTAGCCACTAGTATCGTATTGTAATTGATTATACCTTTATGTGAAGGTGTTTGTCAATAAAGAATCTGAATCNGTAAATTGATTATGGAATGCGACATTCGTATACATGTGTATAGTCACTGATTTCAACAATTGCTAATCTATATGTATATATATATATATTTATTTATCTATTTATTTGTCTGTTCTATGTTCTAGCCACTAGTATCGTATTGTAATTGATTATACCTTTATGTGAAGGTGTTTGTCAATAAAGAATCTGTTCGTACTACTAGCACAACACCCAAACCCAATATAGACGGGTGCAATATTGATGTGACAAGCATGTTATTAAAAATATTTACTGCACAGATTGCTAACTGTGTTTGATTATTTTAGGGTCCCACATGAAGAAGCTTGTATAAAAGTTTCACTCTCCTGGAACCATGAATAATTAAAAATAATTCATCGTTTAACCCCAAAAAGGAACATACGTTACTGTCACAAATACAAAACGTCCAACTGTGAAACGTTCTACTCACTTTGAAAATTCAGTCATCACTGGTTTTGTTCATTGATTTATCTCCTACAAGTATAACGTTGCTAAAAATGATAATAATCTTCTGTATAGACCAGTTAATTGTTTTTTAGCGACTTAAGTTTGCTTGTCACAGAATATTAAAAAATGGGGAAAATACACCCTACCGACAGTAAAATAAGCATTAAATAAACATGTTTCCCTTCATGATCCAAAGATTATATCAGAAATGTCAAACTATCATGGAACCACAATATATTGTTCAGTCAGCAAAAGAAAACATTGTATCTCTTGTACACAAGTACTTGAACAAAATGAAACATTTTGACAATTTTTCTAGGGAACATACATTACCTAGTATAAGCCATGACGCAAAGCCCCTTGAGATACAGTTTAAATATTTATAAAAACGTCCTTACGTCATGTCTAATTTACCATGACTGAACCACTAAAAACATAGCAGAACGCGGCATAAAAATGAAAATTAAATGGCAAGAACATACGTTACCCTACGTTTTTTGGAACATACGTTACCATATAGGGCTCTTTGTGTAATGTTAAAGATATGGTAAAAATTAAAAATTGAATTTCAGTTGAGACAGTCGTGAATTTTTGTTCTATACACATATATGTTTTGAAATATCGAATACAATTTTGAATTCATTCATTTTTATTTTTTTGACACTTCAGCATGTGAAATGGACCTCTATATTGGGTTTGGGTGACAAGCGTATTGTAGTACTGGGCCCGGGGTAATTAAATGACCTTGGAAGTTTGGTCAGTTCCTCTACTAGTAGGCTTTTTGATAATGCTAGGGCCTAAAACCCCGGTGGACACATATTCACTTTGGCAAAAAGTTTTATGCGTTAGCTTTCCTACTTACATTTTCTGGTATGTGCTAATGCATGACAATCGACTATAATATATATGCACGGGGGGCGTCTCGATAGTCCGAAGGTTCATTGGTCTGAAAAATGGTAACATTTTCATCAATTTTTTAATCAAGGGTTCATTGGTCCGAAGATTCTATAGTGAATATTCGGACCAATGAACCTTCGGACTATTGAACCTTTGGACTATTGCTACGGCCCCTACACACGTACTCAACTGTAAACTTACAATGTATAGCGGCTTAATATCTTAGTAAAAACTTTGCCAGATGTGTGTCAGATGTAAATACCTTTTTAGCACATTTTTTAGCCAGACTGATTAAGCATGATCTTTTTTCTTTTTACTGGAAATTCCGTTTCAGTACTGTAATACCATGGCTCGACTCGCTGCGTTAATTTGGCCCTGCTCCAGACACAATTGATTACTGAAAAAAATAAGAATAGATGCATGGCATCACCCTTTAGAAATCAGGTAACAATGGTTTAATTTCCATCCAGTTATGGTTGATGGTCCTTATGATAATAAACACTTTGTGGCCAGCCTGCTATGTTTTTAGTTCACCAGCATAATTTAGCTTTTTGAAAGACATGGTTAGCAATCTAATTGTTTATGACCCTATTCCAATATTTTACAAGCCAGTCACCATCCATTTTTTTTGCACTCTAAACTTAACCCCAAAATTTAAGACATTTTTTTGTAAAATGGGGTCCTAAGAGCAAAATGGTCACGTGCCATTCATTCGTGTTACTAAGAGATTTGTTGTTTATTTATTATTACTTAATCCTGAATTTATATTTCTCTTCAACTGTTGTAGGACAAAATTGTATGATGGAAGACCTAAAGAAAAGATTGGAATTTGAGAATATTACAGTGCAGCAGCAGGTGAGGGATGATATGTTGTAATGTGACTGATAATAATTTATGGTTCTTATTTGTAAACATATATGTTTGTAAACTTTATGATTCTTCAGAAATGTAATCTTTCAAATATTCAGTTTAGATCACAGAAGTGAGATTTGATGTCACTTCAAGGCACATTTATAAGATCTTGTGCAATGTTTGGGTGGTTTAATTAACAGTGACCGCAGCTGTCAACATGGTTTTCTGCTTCGTTTTTGGTGCAGTCTCTGAAGTAGCAAGGAAAAGTGTTCCTTTTTTGGCTCCCTGTGGATAAGCTAACACAGGGCAAATGGGAAAGTCTGTGTTGGTAGGTTTTGATTATCATAAGAAATAACTAAAGATGTGCAAAGCCATGCTGTCTTTGGAAGTGGGTACATGGGGCCATAACATTGCAATGTTTGTGCACAGTATTATTGCACACATGCAAACTCAGCTTCTGTTCCCTATTGTCTTGTTACTGAGAATATGTGTTATCTTTTAATGACTATAGGGCTGGCATATTGAAGGTGAAAAAAGAGAAAATGAAAAATACAGATAACACAATCTGGTTGAGAACCAGTAACAAGATTGCTTCTGCAAAGTCCCACTACAGCAATGTGACCAACTTTTCACTTGTGCTGTTAGTTTGGTTAAAAAATTTGGCCACAAGAACCTGCATTTTTCATCTGGTGTTCTGTGAGACTTTTTTTAAAATTCTAATCAGTAGAATGACTGATGTACAGTATGGTACTTTTCCCTTAAATATGTTGCTTGACTGTATATATTTATTCCTAGGTAGATAAATCAATGTTGATAAAAATTGTTTGCAAATTTAAAGGTGCATTAATATTTTAGAGTAATTTAATTTCTTATATCTTTTATCAACTATTTGCTGTGCCATTTAACACTGTAGCTGTATGGAATTACTGTTTTCCTTGTTTTGTTCTTGGTAACTTAAATTATTTAGAAGAAATGCTTAGCAAACATTTGAATCTATATTCCTATTACTTGGATGTATGCCTAGAGCAGCCTAGTTTCTGTATACGTTGCTTACAAAGCACATAGAATTTAAAGAAAAATGGGACTTCAGATTTACTCTTTTTAATCCAACCTTTTTGACCCTTTTGAATGAATCTTTGCATTTTTTTTTTGCAAAAAGAAATTGGTCAACTTGGACATACAGCTGTCAACCTTTCTCTGCCCTCATCAAAATTATTGTATCTTTTATTAAGCTGATTTTGAAGTCAGTAACTACATCATATGCAGGCTGCATTGCAAAACAAAAATGATTGACCCGCAAGTAATGTCATAGATTAATGCACTCAAGATATAACTTCTAATTCTTAGAGCATAGATAGTGCTGATACAACTAGAGGAAAAATAAGATTAGGTATCCAGAATGAGATACTTAAAGACAGCATTCTGTTTTTGATGATCATTTTAATATGTTCGGAGACACAGTAGCTTTTTGAGAGCTCATAGAAAGTTTTTATTTTCCATTGAGTCACTTTGGTGCCATAATGCTGTCTAGGAGTTGATGTTTCTTCTATTAAAATTTGTACTGCTGTATTTGTGGATTGAGTTTGAGAATTCAATAGCTTTTGTTTGTCAGATCAAACTTATGGTGGTTATTTATTTCTAAGTAATCTATTTTTTAGTGTGTTTAAACATCATATAAAGACAAAGATGAAATACTGTTAAATCCTTGACTTGATTCACACTTAGGACTTTTTTCTATCCAAAGGTTATATTATAGTGTATATACTATATTATGATTGTTTCATTTATTATTTATGTTTAGTATATAAATCAAAGTCATATAGGTAAAAAAACTGCTGTTTATTAATATTTTTTATTGAACAACAAAGTTACAAAAATTTTACACACTTTCTGAAATGCCAGCAACATTTCATTCAATTTGATTAATTTTGTATGACAACAACTCATGCAGCACACAAGTCTGGTAATTATATATTATATTATATTAATCTTAAAGAATAATTTATATCTATTTTGTAAATATAAAAAAATGTGCTGTAAGATAGCATTTACATAATATATCTTTTCTGTCTTGATCATCAAGGCATTCAGGTGGACATTAGCATAGAGTACTGACATGCCATGAATTTCCTCGGCTATATCTTACAAAAAATTCTCATCAAATTTGATCAAAGTGACTAAATGTAAACTAAAACATTATTTTATTTTATTTTAGTAATACATTATTATGTTGGTTCAAAAGCTTTAAAAAGTCGGAGTGGCTTTGTGACAAAAAGTACACATTTTTTTTCTTCTGTACCTAAAAATGATAAATCTTGTAGAAGAGTTATTGAGGTGTTTGCAATTTTTTTTAGTTATTACTGTACTGATGAGTCTGGCCTTTGGGAGAGGTCTGGGTCTCCTAAGAGAGCCCCGTTTCACAATGTCTTAAGTCTGTTTTGGGTCTAAAAGATCTGGATCGACCTAATTCCCTGGGGGTTCAGGCTAAATTGCTATTAGCTCAAGAGGCTTAAATGTCTGTCACGCCTACCAAATCAGCTAGGGTAAAGATACCCCCTAACAGCTTTACTAGGCGTGACAGACATTTAAGCCAGCCAAGTTGACAACAATTTAGTGAGACTCCCAAGGGAGATAGATCACAGGGCTTGACACTAAGGGTGTATTCCCAGAGATTTAGATCGATCCAGGGATTAAGATTTAGATCGACCTAACTCCCTGGGGGTTCACGCTAAATTGCAGTCAGCCGAGCGTGCACCATAGTTAATTACCCCCTTACAGCTTTCAGTAGGCGGGACAGATGCTTAAGCCGGCTAAGCTGACAGTAATCTAGTGAGACTCCCCACAGGGATAGATTGATCTAAAATCTATGGAAATGGGGTCTAACTTTTTTCGATACTGGCCTGACATATTGGTATACGTTGCAAGGATGATTTGACACATGACACTTTACTTGCTCTTTGGGCCAGTGACCCCAGTGATTCAATGGCCCTAGGTTGGTTTTCAGTGGCCCAGGGCCAGTGGGCCACCCTTAATGTCAAGCCCTGGATCAATCTAAATATCTGTGGGAGTGGTCTCTAAGACCTGTCTGACCAAGTCGCATTTCACAAAAAATCTTTAATGCTGTTAGCCATGGCTTTTGGGTTCTTTAACTGAGCCCTTGAGCGACGTGACTGTCTATCACATTGGTGATAGTAACCCGCTTTGATATGTCAAACACCTAAAATGGGTCAGTCTTTCTTAAAAGTTCTTACTGCTAGACCAAAATTGCAAAGTACTAAGGCCTGGCATAGTAAACAAGGGTTAGCAGTTTAACACATAAACTTCAACTTCAGACATCTTCAGAAACAGGGTCCATGGGGTGGTTTCCTGCATCACTTTCCAACAAGTCTCCATGGATCTGAAACCACTGACAATATCTTGAAAATCAGGCCTGGTGTCTGTTAATGAAAAAATCTTGGATTGTCTGGATATTTTTTGATATGATAATGAAGGTGAAAGATTTAAAGGTTTGTTTAGTGTTTAAATTATGACTCATTGATAGGCCATTAATGAAGTGGTAAACATAAAACCTATCCAACTCTGACATAATTTTTTCTCGGAACCTGTCCAATTCTGACCATAATTCAGGATTATTTTTAAAAGAAAGATAACATTTTGGATATATTTTCTGTATTTTCACCATTGGCAAAAAAGTAACTTTTTAATAGTGGTTTGGGTATAACACTGAGAACTGCAGCTAGGTAATAAGTTTGGAACACGTTGTATTCTAGATGGACCATCTTTTGGAAGAAGTCATATGATCGATTCAGGTTGCAACTGCTGCAAGTCAATTCTGTACAGGTAAAATTCAGGTTCTTCGTCTTCAGCAAATTCATGCTTCAGAGTTAGTTCAGACCCAGAGAAACTCGTATTGTCTTCAGCACCAGGGTTTTGAATAACATTATTTTCTTCCTGCTGCATGGTGAGTCTCTCCATTTCTGGGACTCCTCGCCAGTTAGTGGTATAAAGTTTCCCATTGGTATGGGGCTGATTCAGGAGGGTCGAATTTGCTGTTGAGTTTGAATTATTATTGGAGCGTAGAGAATTCATGCTTTCGTCGGAAGTATTTTTATGTTTTGTGGCTGCCACTTTGGCGAACTTCTTTGCATTCGACACGGCAGTCATGTTGACTGTTGGGGCGTAGACATTAGTTCTCTCCATGCTCAGTAACTGTTCAGGATTTAGAATGCACCTACAGAATGTCAACATGAAGACAGTCCGGAATTTCTGACCTATGGCACAGTAGAGGATGAAGTTGATAGCACTGTTAAGTGTCACCAAGAAGTTCCTAAACGATGAGAGGATCCTGTAGCTGAAATCTGTCGCAACATATTTTGTGTCGATGCTGAAGGCGAGGTTATATACCAAGGCAGGGGTCTGGCAGACCAAAAACACCATCACAATGCTAGCTAGCATAATTGTCACATTATTTTCCTTTGATTTCCGCACATTCATAGTTTTTTGTTCCTTCCGTGAGCGATGAACTGCACGTATGAGGAAAGTGTTTAGCACTGCCAAGGTACTGACAGGTATAACAAACATTATTATAACATAAAAGGTGGAGTAGACATTCATGTATGTTTCATTAAGTCCCAAGTCTGTGGGCTTCAAGATATATATTGTTCTGTTGTCATCCACAAGGGGGAAAGGCACATGTTCAAAATGCCGAACTAAGTTGTAGAAGAACGAAACCACGGATACTATGGCAATCACAATACGAGCTCTTTTGATTGTACAAAATTCATGTGCTCGCAAGGGATGACACACAGCTATGTAACGTTCCACAGTAAATGATACAGTCAACCATATTGTAGCTGTCTGTGCACATGTGGCCAGTGGATAGACATACGGTACTAAAAAAGCAAATGTATAATCTTCGTAGTAATTGTCATGCTTTGGGATGTGTCGCAGTGGTTCAAGAAAAGTCGTACAAAGTAAAAGAGTGCTGTCCCAGATTGCTAATGCTGTGAGATAGCTGTTGGTAGAAGAGTGCATCCTTGGACGCGTGAGCACGATTATAACCAGGATATTACACACTATGCCAAGTAAAGCCACAATGAGAGTTGCGACCCCATCCAAGCCAAATGTGAACTCTTGAAAGAACAGTTCATCCTGAGAATCTGTATCACTTTGATTCTTGGTTGTTTGATTCATGTGAGAGTTTTCCTTAATTTCAACAACGTTAAGTTGTTCATCCTCCCGTGTTCCATTTAAAGCGGCACAACCATGTAGCAGAAGAGCAAGAGCAAAACATAGTGCTCCTGAGGTAGATGCCATTGTCTGCATCATTTGGCCCTTCATGCTTGCTCAATGGTGGGATAGTTGAGATAATGAGGACTGTTTGCTGGACCTCAGCAGAGTTTCCTTTTCAGTTCTCTTTATAAATCTACCATGAAACTCTGTTTGAGGTTTTGCCCTAAAACTTGAATTGCAGTTTTTGTCGTCAGTTTTTTGTCCTTTTAATTCGTATCAGATTTCATCAGGAGAATTACTTCCATCTACTGTTTCTCTGAGACTTTGGCCATGTTAGAAACACAGATTACCACATGAAGAGTTGCTTCATTATCCATTTTATCCTAATGCAGTCGGCCCTTTTGCCAAGTGATTACCATATGCAATTTATTCCTTTCCTGATCTGGAAAAAAGCAGAAAGAATAGATTTATGTTATGTAGATGAAAAAATTTATTGTTCATTAATTCCTGTCTTTTTATGATTATGGAGTTTTATGGCTTTGGCAACAGGAAAAATACATAATTAATTGTGAATGATCAAGAAGATTGGTCTAAGATGGCCATTAGCTGAGTAGGTTGTCAAGAAGAATAATCGTTTTCTAAAACATGGAGAAAAACCAATAAATTTTGTTGTCATAACTGAAAGTTTGGCAGTACTAATTATTATGTCAATAAACCAGATCTAAATAAATTGTACCTCTCAATGAGACAGAAATCATGTAGTGAAGAATTTTGACACTGAAGATTATACACGCATAGTGAATTTAATTTTACTGTAATTATTTACACCATTAACATCAGGTATAAGTGCCCTTATGTTCTACATGTAAAACAACACACCATGACCACTATATGTTACCTGTAATATCCGTGTATCATCATTGTTGTGTATTTATATCTTTCAAGCACCTGTGTGTATGGTATTTTGCTACCATTTTTGATATAAACCTATAACCATATATATACCAAACTATAAAGAAACCAAACATCCCAACCTATATCGACAGAATAAGATTTTATGTTTGAAGTGTATACCAGGGCCTGGGCGAACTTAGAATTTATCTAACCTATACTAAACTAACATTACTAATGGCAGGCACATACCACACATCCTTTTTTTATTACTCAAACAGTCCACTTATTTCGGAAACTAGGTACCATGTTTTTGTTTTTGGCTTTTGGAGAACTGAGAAAAATGATACGGACATAGTCCAAAGGGCAAAGATAGGGTGAGGGCATCTTTTAGCAAAATTCAAGATTTTGTCAAAATAAGATTAGTTTCTTCCATTCCCTCTGCAACACACAAATGGAAGCACGCACATGCAAGGCTATCTGGTTCTGCTTCCCCCATTAAAGGGCATGTAAAAAGAATGAATGGACCAACAATCTTTTGTGTATGCATGTGTGTACCCATGCCTTATTGAAGTATAATTTTGGTATTTAATATTAATGATATACTTGGATATTGCAAATTATTATTAAAATATTAATGAAGTTTTTTAGGGCACACAAACGGGTGCTTCTCTTAGTATATTGAATGCACAGAAAATGTCTAGAATTGTCATTCAGAATTCACACAAAGTTTACGAGTGATTTCACCTGAAGCCAAGATTTCAGATTTGTCAGCAGATTTTTACACCTACATGTACGTATATAGCGTATGCTTTCTATGTTATGGTGATTAGACAATTTTCACCTCACAAAGTTCTTTAGTGCTTTAAAACTTTAAAGTTTTAGCATGTGGCTTAGGTTTTACTGATTTACTGATTTAATCCGGCGTCTAAAGGGGATACCCCACACTTAGACCTTTACTAAGAGATTCTTAGCTTGGTCTTAAGGAGCCTCTTGCATGTTGTTAGATAAACACTTCAATGTAGGTGGAAAAGGTTGTTGATTTAGCAGATCCTTGCTTTCTCATTTTACCGATTTGGTTCAAAAAAGCTATTACACTACTGATCAGAAGTAAATATTTCAGAAAAGAATCTGTTCAAAATATTTTATCTGGTCTGAAATTGGCATGAAAAGAGGAAAGGAAAACGGAATGTTGAATTTCCTTATTTATTTTGCTTTTGGCACAAATTTTAGACACTGCATGTTTGCCAATCATGTTAAGGGAAAGTTCTCAGCTGTGTAAAATATTGTTCAATTGTTATTGTTTGCTGAATTAATTAACACAGTTGATCAAAGAAAGAAAAGTGACTGTCTGTGTAATTGGCATTAATATATAAAGGCATCAGAATCTAATACAAGATAATATTGAATGTATAATCAATGGTTTCTGGGGATTTTAATAAACTTTGCTTGTAATTGGCTAACATTCATGGGACAGCAGATCTGCCGCATTTACTCAGGAAGGTTGATTAAGTATACTGTGATCAAACTAGAAAGTTTGGAATATTATTTTTTGAAACACCATATGTAAAAATGCATAAGACAATGGCATATTTCAAAAATCTAAATGAGTTTTGAGTAGTGTTCCTTTTGTTCTTATTTTAAGCTAGTTTAAAAGGTTATTTCAGTAAATACTTACACGAATACAGCTATAATTGCTCACTCTGGGACCTGGAGTGATGCTATAACCTCAGATTTACGAATTAATGAATTTATTCTTTCGCAAATTTGAAAATAAAAAAGATATCTTACAACTTAAATTTTGAAATTTTATTTTACACTACAGATGTTTTTTCCCCTTATTTTGGCACAAACAATTTGGGCAGTTGATCATTAATTAGGCTGAAGAAAAAATGCACATACCCAGGCACAAATAAGTATGTTTGCATACAAATATACTACTGTGCCTGAATTTGCCCTTAAAATGCATGTATACAGGTAGCAGTTTTTTTTCTTGAAAGTAATTGCCATGCAAGATATAATTTTGCCTTACATCTAATTATGAAAATAAAAGTAAATTAACATTAGGGCTGCAGCATAAAAACAAATCCTCTGGAAGACAAGTTAGAGATGTGACAAAGCACTCAAGGGAAATAACTTCAGCAAAAATCATTTTCATTTCATTAAAAATTGATACTGAGTTACATAATTCTTTACACTATGTCAGAAGCATTGTGCCCAGAAAGATCATGTACAGATTTTATGGCTCAGTAGTTAAAATATCCTGTCGTAAGCAGCATTTTGAACACACTAGTCTTCAAAAACTTTTTTCTGTGAACTAGCCATGTTGTCCGCAAGAATATAACTTTCTGATTGTCAGACATATTGAGGGTTGTTGCACAGGTCCTGGTATACATTTCAAACATAACAGTGGACAGGTTGAGTTCACAGGTGAAGTTAGTAATATTTGATCCCAACCAAGGGTGACTCTAGTTTTCACCACTGTTATTAAAACTGAGCAAATAATTTTATTCTAACGAGAGTGCATTATGTAATATATAAAACTGAGCAAACAACTTTAGTCTTGATTATGTGAGGCGTTATTCCTAGGATTGACATGCATGACTACAGATGAAGTTTTTCATCTGAAAAACACACTGCAGTGCATTTTAGGCATATTTTGAGCAAACCATAAAAATTGAAGAATAATTCCTCAAACTTGGTTATTGCCTTGCAAAAATGTCTGGCATCGCACTTAGATAAGACAAAATAACATGCATACAAACAAATAATGCAAAAGTTAGAGATTTTACTTATCTTAATAATGCCATAATAAGAGATTATGGGTCAATGTGCATGAGATTTTAATCCTTGATGAGGCCATAGATTTTGATATTGAAAGATTTGAAAGCTGTGGCACCTAATCTACTAATGCATAAAGAAGGGGATTATGGTTCTTTCCTGTGGCATTTCATGAGTACAAGAGTGCCCTGAAATGTCTATAATTGGAAGTGAGTAACGGAAATGTATTGAATATGTTTTTAAAGTAATAATAGATCATCAGCATATATCTCTATATAATAGCTTTTAATATATGTCTCCACACTTGAGACACAGTTGAAATATGTTTTAATGTCCAGTTAAATTTATGATTTAGCTGCTGATGACCTTACTAATTGGAAAGCACTAAGGCAATTGACATAACTTTAGGACATAGAACTAACCAAGCATCATTCCTGCTCTGAAGACATTCTTGATAGGACTAGTTAACACTTAGACTTACTTGGTATCTATGCAGTTGTTAGAATAATAGTGCTCAATGCAGCTGCAGAACTGTTTAAAATGAATCTGAATAGTGAATGCATTATCTTGTATCTAGGATGAAACAAAATAGCTTACATTAATCTAAAAATCTCGTGCATCAGTACTAGTATATAGAAGTTTACCATAAACCTCAACTATGTTTGTGGTTAAGTTAAAGTTAAGTAACAGCACATGAGCAATCAATAGTTTTGTTGTAAAAAGTTGTTGTTTTACCTTTTAGACAAGTAAGCTTTTGAAAAATCCTCCTTCATAGTTGATTTTTTCTTCAATTGATGAAAAAAAACTTACTCATTCTTTGTTATTCTTACCTGTATGATGATTTCAAATGAGAAACAAGAGTATGTAAGAAATGTCCTCCTTAAGTGTAAATGTCATACTCATTGCTTGATAAGCACCTCGGTGTCATTTAAAGTTACTAAATGACATGATCCTGCTCAGGAAGGTTATTTCGAAGTGCTATCACATCGCTTCTGCAATTTCTCCCTAGTTTATAATCAAAATACAACCTTCTTTTAGATCGATATTCTTATTGTCAGAAACTGTTTCTAATTTCATCCCATAAATGTACTAAGTTATTGGATTTGTGACTTTAATTGCACTTACCTAGCTGTGTGACTGCTGCAATGTAAAGCTCTCTGTGATGTTTCTCACAGAATTACCACTACCCATTCAGCCAGTGACCTCTTTGATTGAACTAATAATTATGTACGAGTTACCTCAATAGCCAACTATAAAAACTACAAGGTATCGATTTGTTGACAAAAGTCAACTTCATACTTAGACTACACATCCGCACTGTAAAGAACTCAACAATGAGTTTCTAATATAATAGATGATTGGTTGAATCCGCTGACCTAATTCTGTACACCAGTGGTGTACCCAGTATAGCAAAATTATTTTTTTAAGTGGTTTTATCCCAACTGGTTACCTGACAGGTCCTATTTACTTTGATGAAATGTGCATTTGGAAATAAATTACTAAGAAAACCCCAAAGCGTTCCGTTTGAGGGCAGATTCTCATGATGTGTTTTGGGTTTATTGTAAAAACATTGTGGTGATTTTTTTCTTCAGGTAAGCACTCATAAATGCTATGCAGATATCCTGCTTAATTCTCCTAGTCTTCACATTTCTGGCAACTTATGATCAGAAGTATGACAGAAACCAGATGACATTTTGACGTCAAATGTGGTGCAACATCATTAATAAATCACACAAATGCATTAGGAAAAATTGTATTTAAAACAAGACTATTGGCAAGAATAATCTACTTTGGATTTCTGTTTATAGCATTGTGCTCAGCATTGCTATCTCTCTATACAACTCATCTTTACCAAGAAAAATATACTGTACAGAACTGTAGCCAGTATTCTCTCCGAAGCTGTGGGCAGACACCTGCTATTCAGCAGATTCCACAAGCTTATCATAATAAAGTACCATACCTGGAAATTGGCAGCAATTAGGGTGTCAGTTTCTAAACTGAACTACTGGCTGCTGAGTGGTAAAAATCCTCCTAGGGTTTAAGCATGAGATGGTCAAACTCTCTTATCTCCTCACTATTAGTAGATAGATAACTGACCACTGTTCACCAGTGGCTACTATTTGTTTGGCCAGATGCTGACAATCAAGGCTAAGTTCACATAAGCTTAATCTAGACCTGTTCTAAAATGTTTTTTTTTTCTTTTTGGATCAGTTAAGGATGTTCTCATTACACAGGTTAATGGTCTACACATGGATGATAATGATTCCCATTTGGGCCAGGTGTATCATTCGGTCGACTTGATTTTCAGTCGGGTAATTGCAGTCAGTTCACGTTTCTGGCTTGATCAAACTTTAAAAAAAGGAGTGTCATTTTTATGTGATAAATATACAAGTACTGTACAGGTATGAACTACTTATAATTCCTTTCAACTTAAAACTGCAGCAGAAATAGTGTCAGTAAGAGCGCATTCGGAACAGTGGACTAACAGATCTGCAGATCTAGTATGGCCAACCCACTTGAATGCTTGTTGCATAATCCCTGCCAGGAAGCTATTCAGTGTCTAATCAGGAGTTAAGCAACAAGCTTTTAAGCAGGTTGCCATATTTCATCCGCGGATCTCATGCCCGTAGCCAGCAATTTCAAAGGGGGGGGTTCGTTTTCTGAAAAAGTGGACCTTTTACCATAAAATCCTCAAGTACATAGGTCAAATTTTACCCACAGTGGACCTTTTCCCAGCAAAATGGGTGGTTCTTTCGAACCCCCCGAACCCCCCCTGGCTACGGGCCTGGATCTATTAGTCCACTGTTCTGAATGTGCTCTAAGCCCATTGTAAACAGAACCCATGTCCAGCAGGGGCACATGTTCCAGTGGTTCCCCAGTGAGGTTCCCACTGCTGGCCAAATACACAATATTTACCCCATAATCAATGAGAAAACAATTTTGATGTAATAATGGCCCAGGTGGAGGTGAAATTCCATGGGGCTCTATGTAACCCAAGGACATCATCTAGTGGTATTTCTATATATACCACATAAACTAACCAGTGCATTTATTCAATTTTGCTCAACTTAACCCGTCTTCTGTGAGGCACACACCAATTATTTTCTACAGATTATTGGGTAGAAGCTATTTTCCAGATAAAAAAATCTTACCTGCATAACCTTAACTCAGCAGGTCTGTTTTATGGATTAGCTTTGTTGGCACTTTCAGAGCCACACATTCGACTTGTGTGATATGAACTGAGGGAAACTTTTAAAACTGAATACCTTCTATTGATTTCTATGGGTTTAGGCACTCAATACCAATAGCAGAGCTATCGTACAACAATGAACTTCACCTGAGGGTGTCAAAAATCTCCGTTTGTTTATGTAACTGGAAACCTTCTGCTGTCCTATCATGAGAGAGTAAAGTCAGTAAAGAGGAAAGGTATTCCTTGCCTTAAATGTTTTAATTCAACATCAAACCTGTCTTTCATTCTTCAGTTGGTGCTTATTAAAAAAACAAAACTAAGCAATAAAAATAACCTCGAATTTAGAGTGAATTCCTCTCATTTGGTGCAGTTTTTAAAAACATTTTGTTTAAATAAATCCCAATGAACTTTTTGCCATCTAGAAAAGTTGCAGTTGGTTCAAGTCACATGGAACCACTGTGTGTTCTTCTTATCCTTGTCATCAGTATGGAATGCACGCTAACTAGCACTAACTAATTCATCAGAGAGTAACACTTCACTGATTGGAGTGCTTTAATGTTCAAGCATCCAGGTAAATAGATTAGGAAACATCAATTTTTTATCTTACGATTACAGCTGTATACCTTCATGGGATTATTTTCGTTCTGCTGTTACCTACCTGATTGGCATGCTAGACACTAGCTGGTTCTTGTTGTGCCATGTAAAGATATCGCCCTATGATGAGGTTCTAGTTTTTCTATGCCTGAAAAATTCCATAATATTCAAGTTATTTTGTGAAGGATTTTGCCCTATGGTGAGCATGCAGTTGTGCAATTTGCCCCACTGATAGGCATGAAAAAAACAATTTACTCTGATTGGTTTATTTGGAAGGGTGTGTATTAGATGTTGTCACAGTTACAGTATTCTGAACTTTATAAACAATTAACCAAATACTCATGATATTGCTTGACTGTATAAATTTTCTTCAGTAGTTTTCTAGTCAGTCTCTAATATTTTCATAAAAAAGGAATTTAAATTCTGACATCTGTGCTCAAGTTTTGCCATGTTATTCAAGATAGTTATTCATTTCGAATCAGCTCATTTTGTTTGAAAAACTGGAATGAAACCCAAAGGTAATATTAAGCGTGATTAATGAGAAGATGTATGGCGTAGAATTACATGCCACCATTCACAGGACTTCATGATTACTCATGGTTAACAGGGGAGGGTTTACAGAAAAGTTTGCAAGATTAATTTGCATTTTTTGAAAATTTGAAAATGCTTTTGCATTCAATTTTCAGATGCATAAACTGCAGTGTGAATTACATGGTTTGTGTATTGTTATTTTTTAACAAAAGAAGTAGTGTCACCTTACTCACTGTTTAAAGAAGTGGTTAAACAGTTTGAATAAACTGGGCAGTGAGTCAAAAGACACTTTCTTCCTCTATTATTTACTAGTACATAGAAATTGATGTTTTTTTTTGCATAATCAGTAAAACTAGCTCATGGACAAAATTTTGCTTTTAATAATTCTTTGAAGGTGTGACAGCCTAAAAGTAGCCCAACACAACCTGTCTGAAATCCTGTACCTACTTTTTTCATAGTAAAATATCATTTAAGATTTAAATCAAATGTTACTCATATGCTACATGAGCCTTAATTAATTCCATCAGAAGTCTGTCTTTGACTTTTGGTTACTTGCTTCATAATGAATTAATGTTACAACTCAGTGGGTGAAAAATTGAAACAAACCAAGAACATTAACAAACTGCAAGTTGAAAATTGCATGCAAAGAATTGAAGGGATCAAAATTTGAACTACGTATGAGACATTGCATTATTTTTAACTAAAGAATGAAAAATACAATTACTTGCATGGCAGTCAGTTGTGATAAGATTGCTTGAACCATCTCTCAAATCTAACTCCACTTTTATCGTCTTTATTATCAGTACTCTAATATCTTTGTTTAAATTGTCATTTGGAGTGCAGAAAAATATTGAAATTGGCCTGTTAATATTCCATGGTGTTATATTTTTCTAGAGCAGTTTGCTTAACGGTGCAAAGTTGAGGTTGATTTGTGCCTTACAATAGACAAAGCAGGGAGTGGTGGGCGCTGATGATACTAATTGCACACACTACATTGGGCACACTCGTGGGACTACTGGGAATCAATAATTTACATTCCCAGAAAACCTGTTGGGAAAAGATAACTGCAAAATGAATTGTAAATGCCATCATTACCACCTATAAAATACCAAATATTTGCTCTGGGTGCCAGTAAACATGCTTCTACACAGCAGGATTGCTGTGAATGTTCATTGACTTTTATGGATTCTTTTTTTATCAGATTTTAACAGACTTCTGAATCTTTCTGCTAAAATGGTTTCTATTACTTATTGTTATGTTGCAAGACAGAAAATGTATCAGTTACTGTGGGCAATTATCAGATTCATTATTGTTTGCCTAAATAGGTATAAGTATGGCATAATTATGGTTGAAACAGTCTGGATCAGTTACATAGATGAGTTTATATGCAGTGACTGTTTTGATAGACTTCAAATGAAAACTGTTAAAAAACCAAAAACAATGTTACTGAAACTTTTTTTCTATATTTTCATCAATATCCATGCATAACTTACACAAATCAGTTGAGCAAATAAGTATGATGGGTTTTCAAGATGAATTTCATTTAAAAATAAACTGTTTTTTGTTGTCTTGATGTCTCACCCTTTCTGTGCTACAGCCAAGTGCCCTTGCATTACAAGTGCCCTTATGTTATAAGTGTAGGAAATCAGTTTGGCTAACACAGTGTAAGAGTGTGGCAACATCAAGAAATTTTCTTTCTTGTGGGTGGGAGAAGTTTGAAACAGTGGCTTGTTGTTTTAGAACTAACGATTTTATTACTGTGCTGCCTGAAACCATTTTTTGCTTAAAATTGTGTCCTCAGCACATAACAGTATATTTACAATATATTTTATTCCTGCATATATCAGAAAGGCCCCCTTTGAGAGAAGAAGTCTTTTGGGGGTTACAATTTTTGTTTCTTGTGTCTTTCTTCTTTGGTTTTTTCATAGAGGTTGCCTGAGTGCAAACTGCACATTTAAATGGTACTGTCATGATCAAGTTAAATAATTCTTAGAAGTTCACATTAAGTCACCGGTTTCAAGCTTCCAGAAATCGAATTTGATCAAATCGAGAGTGTTATAATCGTTTGTAGTTGGCAACATAAACCAATTATCTGATTTAAGCCTTGGAAGTTCAAATGATAACTGTAATCTGTTTTACTTGATGTAAAGGATGATGCTGAGAACTTGAAGGTCAAGTTGTCCACAAAAATGATTTGTGATGCTTGTCTACAAATGAGAACAAGTAATTGGAGATGTTTTTTTTATCAAAGTAAACTTCATACTTATGTGAAGAGAGTGGGGGAGGGTCAGATTTTCATCATCTAACTTTAATTTTTATAAATATTCAAACACTCTTAGCACTGTTTTTTTATAATAATGTGGCATTTGAAGTGCTCATTGACCTCACACTGCCTTTTATGAAATTTACTTTTTTGATTATGTATATAATTTGAATATATATATTATCATTCAAATTGGTTCTCATATTTCTTTTAGTAGTCTATTGTATTTATACCATTAATGTAAATGAAAAATTTAAAAAGTAGATCTTTACCCTTGCATTTGTTGATCAGAGGCAAGAGCAATTTTGCCTTACCATATCTACTTAAATCAGTTTTAATGAAGCCTTACAAAAACAAAGACCGTAATACATAGTTTGCACCTGGGTATTTTTATCATTTCTTTTCAGAATTAGAAAAAAGATGTAATTCTCTAGTATGATGCAATCAGACCCATCCATCCCCTCCTACAAGTTTCAAACCCCCACACATTTAAAGATCTTACCACTTACGTTTACACCTGGGCGTTATGAATTACAACACTGGATAGATATGTAAAAAAATATCTGATTACTAGAGATAGGTTTGAGACGGAAACATTATACATACGATTACTAACAAGCTTACTTTGGTGCGCCCACTAGTTATACTTTTTTCATGTTGTTTCCATGGAAACTTTATCTCATCCCCAGTTTCATTTCCCTCACACCATGCTGGTGTCAGGGGAATATAGATATCATTCTGTGATAGTTCCAGCTGAAATTGTCGAAAAATGTTGTGAACCTTTTTTGTGCCATTCATCACGAGACCTAATCAAGGTGCCACTTATGTCATTTGTTATTTCCCATTTTTTTGATTCATTAGTGCAGGATGAAAACACTCCCCATGTTGAGTGATAAAAAGTTAGCTTAATGGGGGAAAAAGGAACATTGTAGGTAATTAGGACTGGTAGGTAATCAATTACAAAGCAGTGTCAATAATAATAATAATAAGGTAAAAGGTACTTTCATCATGGCAAACCAGTAGGTACATTTTGAATTGTTCTGCAATTTTTCACATGCAGGTTCAACATAGGTAATCATATTAATAACAGTTGCATGTTTGTAAACATGCTCACATGCGTTAATATGGAATTATGCATGGCAACATGTACACTTTCTCTCCTCCACACACACACACACACACACACACACACACACACACACACACACGCACACACACATTAAATTATGTTATGGTAAATCTGAAAAGCTGTCTTGTAGTGTCCTTGACTCGAACCTTACTCCTAAGCCAGATTTTTTTGTTCCAAAAATAAGTTTATCAACAAGAACCTATTGCATCATTATAAGTTATGATTTTGAAAAAGAAATGTCCAATTTTATGTTTATTTCATATAAATTTCAAATCATTCTGTTTTATAGATCTAGTTATTTTGCTAGATACCATATGGACATAGAAGTAAAAAGAGTCCATAAAGAATAGTGTTATCTGTTAGTGGGTGATAGTAAGTATTAAATAGCTAGGGAATTGAAGTTTTACCCATGTTTTATTTACTTTTCAATGCTTTCTGTTGAAGTCAAAGTTGTTTTTTCAAGTCAAACCAATTTTGGTAGTTTCATCTATTTCTTCATTGCAATGATTTTTTTATGCTCCTGTCTTGCTTACATAAACACATAAACCAGTTGTTTATTAAGCAAGCTGAGCCCTCTCTCACCTCAGCCAATGCTCTGTGTTATTGACTTATAAAACACTATATTGTGGTGTGATTGCCATCAACTCAATCCTTTCACCCAGTGTTTTCAAGTTTCAGTATCACAAGTTGCATTATCACTTCACAACCAAATGAATTAGAATTGCCAAGAACACAATAGGTGTCCGTGTCCATGTACTGTGTCCCTGTGTCATGCACAAATGAGAGCACTTTGTGACTCTTCTCTCTTGAGAATGACGTGTGTCACGGGAAGATGTTGATGTGATGAAGATGTCGATAGGTTCATAAACAAGAAATAACAGTTTGTCTTGTCCTCCTCTGCTGTTCAGAACCACAATTTCTTGTAATCCCCAGGCCAAGAGTAATTGAGTGAAAAACCTGTTAAAAGCCTTGCAAAAGCTCAATTCCAGTCTCTAATAAAGTGTATTGATCCAATTTTTGAGAATCAGACACTGCTGTGATACCAAAGCTAACTGGTTGGCATGTGTACAAATTACTATAGAGCTCGCAGAGCTGGTTTTGAAAATGGATAAACTTGGTGCTGCGCACAATTTCCTTACCATTTTTCCCCCTGTTGAGTTTGATCTGATGATGTTCAAAGAATATTGATAAAACAGTTAGAATCAAGACAAAATATCTCATATGCAAAGATTATGCATTATTGATGGGTTGTGGTTTTGCAATCTGAACTTTTTCTTCTCCATTCTCTCTCTCTCTCTCTCTCTCTCTCTTTTTTTTCATACATACATTAATGTGTAACTTGAGCTTAAGGTAACAAACCAGAATGTAGGAAGTAATAACTTTTTTTTGTTTATTTGCAGGCAGTTTGCAGACTTTTGAAAGAAGTTACCAACAAGCAGAAAAACCAGCCTGCTGTAACATCTTCTACAGCCTCTGTAAGTAAGGGACCTACTTGGCTTCACTGATGCCAAATTACTCAGTTCTCATGTGTATCTGTAGTGGACTCTTTGACAAAAATTCTCAGTTTTGAGATGTAGCTCATTTTGGTTCATGAGGATTTTTACCTGGAGCTCTTGTTAAATAGTTAACCCTATTATTCTGCGTAAAAATAAGAGACTGTGCAATTCTCAAGAGAATGCGCCCTAAGTATGAATCCTATTTACTTCAAAGTCCTAGCTCTGTAGGGCCACAGCAAGGGGGAAGGTATAGATATTACAGGTACAAGAGAAACCTTGTCTCAATTTTCAGGGGTCCCAAGATTGGTGCTCTGTTACTGTAGATTCGGCAGGTAACATTAGACATTGACCAGTGGGATTGTGGGGAAAGCTAGCAGGAAAACCACCAGATGTTTTCTTTTCTTATTCCTATTGATAAATGATACTGTTTTTCAACCTGTGGATGTTTTTCTCAATATTTTATCTCGAAAAGCTGGCACAAAGCAATAATTAGTTCAAAATGTGTTGACAAGTTGAGAATTGAGAATGTTTATTTCTTTCTAACTTTTATGTCTTCAGAAGTCACAGTTTCTTTACAAAACCAAGTTTTTTTATTTTTGAAATTTTAAAAAGTAATTTTAGTTTGGAAAATAAGTGAAAATTTTAAGAAGTAATTTTAGTCTGGAAAAGAAGTAAAAAAAAAAAGAAACCCCACAGTTTTTAGAGTATGGTAAGGGCATCTTGCACATATCAGTAAAAACTACAAAATGCATTTTGGGAAGGTATCTTTATTAAGTATAAAAAATAAATTGCTGATCATATTAAGATCATGCTGTCAGCCTTAATATGTGTGAATTTACCCCCGCCTTCTCACTTACGTCATCCTAGACAATTGAATGAAAACTTTGCTCAGTCACCATTAAATTGGAATTACCCAGTCAATTTGCAGGCATCTAGAAAATGGATTTTTACTGTTGACCAATCAAGACTGTCTGCAATTGAAAGAGAGAAAACCAAAAAAAAAAAAAAAGTTAAGAAAAATTGAGAGGCTTTTTGCACAGATGTTAAAATACAGATTTTAAGGTCTCTAATGNATCAAAAGTAAAAATAAAAAGAGAAAATCCTGACAGAGTTTAATGGAGTTTGTGCTAACCTTTAGATAGCTATTTCAATCGTATTAATAGGGCTTTTTGTTTAAGAGAAATTCTTGATTAAAAAAAAGACAATTTTAGCCTCAAAACGCTGATATTACGTCACTCGTGTTACACTGTGACTACAAACTTTGAAAAATTGTTTGGCTTGCTAGACCTTTTCTTTAAGTTAATAGGAAATTTCATTAGCTGCATTAGTTTTGGACTTTTTCGTTAATATCCAAGATCCTTTAAAAGTCATTCAGTATAGTAATGCAGTGATTGACATTCTGATCTATTGTTAGATTATTGTAAATTTATATTCTCACCACACCTTTTTTACCAATAAATAACTGCATTGATAACAATAATAGCAACATAAATTTAGACAGAAGTTTTTGATCTCTGATATTCCAGAAACCTTGAACTTGTATTCCTAAATGGATCTGTTTCACAATGCCCCACCACAAGCAACTCCCACATTAATTTGAGTTCAAGTAAACTTTTCTCAGTCTCAATGTTAGATATGGATCTTGTCTGCTGTAGCAATGTACGATAACTAAAGGCTTGCCATTGTGTGATATTATATTGATATTCCAGAGGGAGTGATGTCCTAATGCCATGATGGGAGGCCAGTTTACACAGCCAAATACTGAGAAAATTTCTTTCCTCCCCAGCCAATTGATTACACAGCTATGCTTTCAAGGAGAACATTCGGTTAATGATGACTGGTTCTGTGTCAGCTCTGTTGACACAATGGCAGTCACAATTTTTACATCTTATGCATTTCTGAAGCTTTTCACTAGAATGCCCACTAATCAGAGCTTTTTAGGTGAACTTCTGCTTTTCAGAAACTTCAGCTATTGATCTGATGGAATAAAAACATGAAATTGTGTATCTTTAGCTGTAGGATATAGTACAGTCACAGAGAAAAGTTGTCCAAGGGTTACAAGTATTGATATCAGGATTGACAGCTGCTTGCTCTCTATAATGCTCCATGTTATTCTATAATTAAAGGTGTACTATCTATCTTAAAAAAATAAAATGTCCCAAAGTCATATTTTCTATGTATACATATCCTACAAAGCTACTTATCCTTCCCAATTCAGATCTTAAAAAACAATAAAAACTGCAAGTAGAAGTGCATATGTCAATATTTCCTTCTGAAATATACAGGAGGACATGGTAGTCTAAACGTTACGGGAAACATTTAGAACTAAATTATTTAATTAATAATCATGTAACACATCAAAATTTTAAGTGCAGGGATGGTCTAGCAGTGATTTGTGAGCTGAAGAAAATTACTTTTTTTTTGAAGAAAAATTTGTTTTGGCAGAAAAATCCCAGCGATGTAACCTTTAACTAGAAACTTTATGAAAGCCATTCAGGCATGAAGTTTAATTGAGTTTGTGTCTGGCATGCCCTACATGGTGACATTGTTTGATTTCAGCCACACGGATGATTTAAAAATTCGTAATACTGAATGCTTTTTTGGTGTCAGTTGCATTCATTCTTGCAGTATCCTAGGATTTCACCCCAAAATTCAACTGCTTCAAATTAAGATGGCTTGTGCATCACTGGCCACTTTCAGAACAGATGATCCATGGACGAACTGATCTGCAGACTTAATATGGCTGTCCCCACTTGAACACTTGAAAGCAAAGCTGCCTAATTCCCTAATGGTCTTACCACCTCCATTTAATCTCGGCCCCCAGGTTTAATTGCTAGACCCCTGCAGGGATGGCGCATGTGGAGACAGGGAGACCTTTAAGGAATTAAGGGGCTTTGCTTTTATGTGGGTCAGCCATATTTAATTTGTTAATCTGTTAGTCCACAGATCAATTTGTTCTGAAAGTGGCCACAGTTGTGAAAATTGTCTCCTATTATTTACATAACAAAACAAGTATGTGTTAACTTCTGTTTGATATATCATCCCTCTTTCATTTCTCCAACAGGTCCCTGAGCTTGACTTACTATGGCAGTATATTGGCGAGGGAAGCCCTGCTGTCTCCCTGGCGTGTGTGGAGGCGGTGGTGTCCCTGGTGCAGTCAGGAGTGGCGGACTTTGCCTATGTTCTCAACCAGTTTCTTAATCTTACACCATCTACTAGGTAAGTATAAGTGTACACCTGTAGGGAAAACTGGTTCTGAGGCATGTCATTTGTTATCATCAGTGGATAGTGGATTATAGCAACTATGGTTGTTTGGACATTTGTGTTGAGTGTTGGTGCGATCTTAACGGTACCATGTCCCTGTGCAGCAAACATAACACCTCACTTCTCCAGTCTTGCATCCCTAGCTGGCACGTTGCTGTCTGGATTTTGCCAGTTTTCGAGGTTGGAATGATGACCTTTCAAGACTGGAAAGATGACTTGCCTGATTAATCTATTGTTGTCTCACCAGATTATGTCTTGTCCAGCTGGCTCTTTGTTGGTCATCGAAATTCATAACAGGATCAGCAAGTAGCCCAGATAATCTCGTCTTGTCACAACTGCCCACTGCCACCATGTAAGTCACCATACAGGCCAGCTGTGGGACACCTTTGTGGATGTGGACTTCCCTGTCACATTACTGATGATGTCACATGACTGATGATGTCACATGGACTATTTCAGAACTGGTTCATTTTATGACACAGCATATGGTGTAGAAATGTTGCTTTTGCACAAATACAAAGCTGTATTGTCATAGCTCTTAAAAAGTATTGAAAAGTGAGTAGTAATTTGAAATAGTTACTAAATCACTTTTGCATAGTGGTCTGCTTGAAAGCATTTACATTTATGGGGCCATCACAATGAATTTTGTTGACCTAGCTAATGCACACTAATTATGAGGACTACTTGAAAAATTAAGAGTTTCTCTATATTCTACGCTGCACTCAGCCAGAGTCCACATGGAGTTAGTGCGCATTAGCTAGCTTGCCAAAATTTATTTTGAATGGTCCCTATTGTGTTGCAACACTATTCTCTTCTAGCCTATTTCAAGATTAATGAGTGCTGCTGTATTTCATTTTCACAACTGATTTTCAAGCAAACACACATAATCAATGTGAGAGAGAAAGAAAAAAATTAGGGATAACTATCATGTATCAACCAATCAGATACATATCTAAATGACTCTGGAAAGAGACATTTAATATGTATGACCATAAAAGTGAAGTGAAACATTCACAGTTCTTCCAACCCTAAAGCCCATTGACTTTTCATCATTTTTTTTTTTTTTGCTTAATCCAACTTACTGCTGACGGATCACACTTGATCAGCCTTTTCTTCACGCAACTTCGTACTCTCTGTGGGAAAAAATTTAACACTCTGGCTGATTTAAATTGATGAAGCACGATTAAACTTTGATCTCACTAGATGAGATAATTGGCTTTCCCTGGGATGTGACTGATGGCTAATTAAGCCTATTGTCATTTACAGATTGCTTTATCAGAATTTCTTCCATCAAGAACTGTTAGAAATGGATTACAGCAATGTGTTTTTGCTGCTGTGATTCACATCCCCCAGCTGATTGCCACTGATTCTGCTAATTGTTTGATTGATGCTGGATTGGGAAATGGTTTTGTCAGCTATTATTTTAATTGACTTTGCTCTCTGCTCTTGCTGTTTGCTATCACATCAGTTTCTCTCCATTTGTGTTTTTGTTCCTCTCTCTCTCTCTCTCTCTCTCTCTCTCTCTCTCTCTCCTGAAGGTGCCGATATTTTTGAAAATTGTCATGTTCAGAACCATCTCTCTTATCTTTATACACTCCACTGCACTGCCTTGTCCATCTTGGCTGCCATGCTTCTGTACTTCTTAGCCTGCTCATAATCACATCTTATCAGCCAAAGAACTAATTAAGCAAGCTCTTCTTTTCAGATGCCCCCAGAGTATTGTGGAGGGAATTACACAACTGATGCTGTTACAGTTACAATTAGAGATTGAAAAACAAGCCAAGTATACATGTTCCTATTCTGTCAGGTATGTTTTCAGTGTTGTGCTTGACGTACTGCATTGAACGAGAGTCAGCTGAACACAACTTAAACATTTAGAATAGCTGGTATTCATGAATGGATTTTTTTTTATCATTTTTAAAATTATTTTTTTTCCTGTGTATCCCCAGATTCCTCCACTTGAAACACATTTGCATGCACAAACACATGCGCAACACTTACATTAAAGTACATGACTTTCCTCTGTGTTTGCATGTTTTTAGCATATACTACATGTATGAACAGTGTCTATTGTTCATTACATGTTTTATGCATAAAGGCACAATAAATCAAATAGAAGGTAAGTATTTGCTCTATGAATAGTTAAATCTGAGCAAACCATAGCAAATAATTAGATTTTATCAAGAGTTTTGTAGATCTTATCAAGAGTTTTATGGATTTTATGGAGAGTTTTAAAAAATTAAGTGACTGTCATCCAACTTATATAGCTCACCAAATGATAAGATGAAATGGATTAAGATAAGCAGAAATTATTTGACATTTTTTAATGGATTTGGTTGTTTGTTTTTTTTTTGTGAGGTATATATTTGGATGCTCTGGTATATTTAACAACAATATAGTATGAATAAAAACTTATGAAAGATTATTGATTAAACATGCATTTGAAATCAAAATTTTGCCACATAACCCAATATAGTTTCAAATAACATAGTTTAAAAAAATACGAGAGGGCAGCATTTCATATTTCCAGGAAAATGATATTAGAACGGATAATTTGTTTTCTTTCTGTGCGAAATATGATATAACCTACAGTTTTTTTTGGCAAATCATTTAAATAATTGTGCTATTCCACGAAATAGTAATGAGCAGTACGTCACAATGTCATTTGGTGGGCTTATATGAACTGGAGTAATAGAGAAGTAGGTCAAATTTAAGACCAGAAATGAAGAAGCTGCAGTCTAAAAGATCTTTTATGGCTGATCGAGTGATGAACTTTAAGCTATGGTGTGTGTGTATGTGTGTGTGTGTGTGTGTGTGTGTGTGTGTGTGCATGTGTGCACAAGTATGTGCATGGCATGTACACACATGAATGCATGTGTACATGCACACAAGTGTGTGGCTGTGTGAGCCTGTGTTTTCTGGGTTAAAGGCAATATTACTTGGGGACAACTGTCCCTAATCTGGCTGACTAAGTAAAAACTACTTTTTGACATTAAGTCATCACCTGCCTACAGAAAGGTATGGTTTAAGACCATACCTAGTTGGATCTAGTAGGATCAACCCATCTCTCACCCCATTTCCATAGATTTTTAGATCGATCTATCCCTGTGGGGAGTCTCACTAGATTACTGTCAGCTTGACCGGCTTAAGCTTCTGTCCCGCCTACTAAAAGCTGTAAGGGGGTAATTAACTATGGTGCGCGCTCGTTCGACTGCAATTTAGCGTGAACCCCCAGGGAGTTAGGTCGATCTAAATTTTAATCCCTGGATCGATCTAAATCTCTGGAAATACACCCTCTGAGTGGTTTCTCACTTAATTACATTCAGCTTAAGCAGGTCTGATGTCTGGCACGCCTGCTGAAGCTGTTAAGGGGTAAGTAACTATCATTTAGCAGCTGTAGTAGGCGTGCCAGACATCCAAGCCGCTTAAGCCAAATGAAGTTTAACGAGAATCTCCTTGGAGATGGGTCGATCCTGCTTGGTCAATCTGGGTATGGGAATAGGGTTTAAGAGGCCATTCAGAACAGAAAATAGATGACTCCATTCGTGCCAATAAACAGATGAAATCATGGCTCTGAGGTTTAATTGCTATATTTGGTCTGTGGATCAGTAGATCCTCGGATTTTCTGTTCTGAATGGCCTCTAAGTCTCTGGGTATATTTGATGCTGCCTTTGTTCTGGTAACTTTGGCAATTGAGAAGACCACAGCTCCAGTAATCATTACATGTTATCATTTTGACTTCCAAAGTAAAAGCTCATCATTTTAATTGGAGTTGTCAGTATGGGATATTTGGAAACATAGATAATGGGACAATGTGAATGCTAATTATACCTAAGCACAGTTTTGAGTGATTGATGCATTTTAATGGAACATTTACCCTTTTTTTGCTACTGATATTAGGGTAGTTATCAGGGTTTGAATGCCTTATTCGCAATCTAGCAGAAGTGAACAATTAACAAGTAATCCAATAATTGTCCACATTTTGTAATATGAACATTGATATAGTGCAATTTTGATTTTTTTCTCCTAAGCTGTCATTTCCTCAGTTGTCTTGATAGGTTCATAAATGAAGTCCCACTGGACTGAGACTTCTAAATTGCTGTGAATAGGTTTTTTTTTTTTTTTTTGGCAGTGCTTTTATGAACCTAAAACAACCCAAGTTTTATGAAGTATTGTTTAGAGTATTTTTTAAAATAAACTTCATGAATGTGATTCAAAATTGATTCGTTATTGCAGTAGTAGCATGGTATAAAGATCAGGAAGTTGACCTTGAAATAATTTCCTTTTCTTTTCATGAGTTGACTTGTGACAAATGATTGTAAAGTGTGGTAGTGTAAGAGCAAATAAAAGCAACATGAAACTCCTCTACTTTGTTGGTATCAAAGATGTAAATCTGAATGAATTCACTTGCTTCCTTTTGTTATTACTCAGTCATCTATGAGGAATTAGTGTCTATTATGTATGGTTTCAGCATATTGGATAACAGCAGCAACAGAAAAGCTTATTATTCAAAATGATTGGATTTTGTTTTGTTCTTTTATCTGCCACAGTCGAGCTGAAATTCATCATAGTTAGAATAGAATTGTTGTCAACTTTTGATCATTGTCTTTTTCTGTGTGGCTCTAGGTAAACTTTTCCATATAATAGCGTGATTATGTGGTTATGTTTGCAGAAATGACAACTCTGGTTCTTTCTCTTCCTCAGCAGATTTAGAGATGACTGAAGAGTATTTGAGAGAAAATTTATCCACAAGAAATGATGATTCTCTAGTGAAATGCAGTGGTCATGTTTTAGTTGAGATGTAGGTTACAAATGGTTAGGTGAAACAGTTCAACCTAATCATTCTGACGTATTTGCAACTCATAATGATTCCTATTGGGTGGTAGCACTTATAACTAGAAATTCTTTTAACAAAACGTTATTTTTTAAAAGTATATAGACAACTGAAAATGTTTAATATAAACTTTATGACTAAAGAGACACACATAATTTTTTTTAGGTTTTGCTAAAAGAAATGAAAAGCTTGTACATTGTTTTTAACATACTTTCAAAAATGATAATATCTAAAACTTGTTTAACGTGCCTCTTACTCCTCAAAATCAAAAAGTGATGTAGAATGTAGATTGTAACTGTGTATTTATCAGTTTTAGATTTGGCATAAAAAGGAGTGTTGGATATGGGGTATTTTGCAGTATTTTGATTCCATCCTGATTGCAATCCAATAACATAGCCACAAATGACCACATGCTGTGAACCCACTGCGATATCTTCCAACCAACATATCCTGCAAGTCGATTCAACATTCTTAAGGGGGGCTGTACCCAAATATGGCTAAAAATAACATTTCTATAGATAAAATCAACAGTAAGTCTTCAAAGAAAAATCCCTGAACCCCTTTTGTAGTACTTGTTAAAGTTATAATACCATTAAAAGCATGTTTATAACTGTCGAGATGCCTGAGAAAATCAGGAAACCGAAAATGATGTTTTTCCCCAAAAAATCCCAATATTACTTCACACGATGAACTTGGAGCTATGTTTCAAGCATAATTAGATGTTTTGCAGATATATTAAATGAATGCTACAGGAATAAAAAAAAGCTAAGACCTTTAATTTAAGATAAAATTTCCAACCTGCAGTCCTCCCTTAATGGCCCAACTCACCACATAGGTGAGTAGATGGCCTCAACTGATTGCAATCAACTTTTGTTGAACCATACTATCAGGAACATTACCTCTGAAACAGCCAGGTATATATCAAAGTACTAACTAAGATTCAGTAATTCAACTTCAATCCTGTTCAGAATATGTCTATTGCGTGGGTGCTATGATCCCACAAGTCTTCAATAAACCTAGTTATCGATAATGCACGTCCCCTGCTCGGGATACCATTTATGAAAACCATAACGCCATTGGGGCATGGGGGATGGGAAGAATGAAAAAAAAGTAATTCTACGCTAATGCACTTTAGTAAGCAATCTGGTATTATCACAGATTTGATTATGGATTTTTTTTTGTGAAAACCTAATACCATAGAGGATGAAATTTGTTTGTGTGATTGACACAATGGTGGGATAAAATATCAGCTCTAATCCTTCAATAATTGCCGCTTTCAATTGAGGTCTTTGCAGCAGTTTTTGCGGCAGTGTCATTGGGAAATAGTAGTTTGCGATGGAAGGAAGCTGTCAGTGTAGCTAGAAGTGTTGTTACCCAACTAAATTTAGCAAGGGATTAAATGTTGGGTCTGGGAGATATGTAAAGCACATCTTAAGTTTTTTTTTCTGAAAATATCTTTTTTTCATCTTGAATTTAAGAAGATGTCTGCTGAAATACAGTACATACAACATTCAGCTGCATTGTCAGCCAAAACTGAATTAAGATTCCACTGCTAGTGTTGTGGGAATATTTCCAAAAACTTTCAAAGATGTCTAACATCCATATCCATGTCCAATATCCAATGTCAAAGGAGAAATTAAAAATGAATCACATACTGGCACTCTGGTGTTTAAATTTCAACATGACAACTGTACTTGTGTGTCCTGTATTTGATTCAATGTGATTTAATCTTCATTTATTATTAGCATGCAACTCGATGCATGGAAAAAACATGACTACATTTTATTATACAAATAAAGAAATAATAACAGCAATATTCCCAGTGCAAAAATGCTACCCTGATAATTGGTTATATTAGTTAGCTCATGGTCATATCCCAACATTTGTTCTGATTGTAGATAATAACAGATGCAGAGATGGGAAATTGCCCAATGAAATCAAATTTCATAATATCTCTCTGTAACTTTTACTTTTACAGTGTTTGCCATCTGTTACAAAGATTCAGATTGAAGTATTCTTTATTGCTACTCTCAATTTCCTATATTTTATTTCATTATGATGTATTTCTCATGATGTTTCAGGAGCCCACCACACCCTTATATTACTGTATTGACCAACCGCCCAGAGAGCTGGCCTCTACTCCAGACCAAGGTTTCACATGTACTTCTTCACCAGGTGGACAGGTATACAGTCTTTAACACACATACACACACTTGCACACACACATATGTACACATGCATGCATGTACATTGGGTTTGCAGCAATTAAAAAGGTATCTGCCAACATTATAAGGTTAGCGTAAATGACTGTATCAAACAAATTCGAATAAAATGAAGAGCTTTTAGTTTTTGGTAACTGTATTGCAATATGTATTATTGCTGACATATTCAACCCTACTGCCATGTCAAGGTACTTAATTGCTTTTAATAAAATTCTGTGTGTGTGTGTGTGTGATTGAAAATAGATGCTTGATACTCTCCACGATTATTATAGTTTTGCAACGTAATTAATGTACTTCACATTAAACCCTTTATAGTCAACAGGGAAGTATGCCATAGGTTTTATCACTTCCTGAAATGTAGTTCATTGCTTTTAATAAAGGTCTCTGTGTGATATGTAAATATCAGGTAAGAATAAAAGCTGAATATTGTGGAACAATGTTCTCAGTGTGGTCAAAGACCGCATATTAAGTCCAAGTTTTGGACATCCAATTTCCTGTTGTGCCCCTTGGTTCACTGCCCTGAATCTTATTAAATGTTATTCTTTGCAACTTTTCTATGGTTTCATAACATGTACGAGGCAGGACAAAATGTGATACCAGGTGAAAATACTTTGAAAATATCTTCATCAGATATTAGATTCACATAAAGATTTACTGCTCAAACATTAAAAAAAACTTATTAACCTATTCAACTAAAGAAATATTACCTTGAATCCAGGTGATGTCTTGCAATAATTTAAAGCTGATGGTAGATGTTTCAGCAGTAATTTCATTGGTTTCCTCATTTTGTACTTTTGCCTTTGATATTAATACTAAAGAAAACTACATCACAAGATGTTTGAAAGTTGGCCTTTTTGATCCTCATGGAGAGTTTAGGCAGGTTTTTGGCTTTTGTCCTTTCATTGGTACATTTTGTTTGATTGAAATATTTTACACATGTACCAAATGGTAATCGAGCTGCATTAAAAAATCTGCAAATAGTCTGGGTCAGGTAGAAATGTTCAAGTAAACTCACTTACTGTCTTGGTGTGTTTGTGGTTATGATCTCCTTCCCATTAAATGAAGTCTTGAAAAGTACTAACATATTAATTGGTCTGACTTCAGGCAGGTCAGGCCTCATTTTTTAAAGAGTTCTTTAAATGCATGTGCTTACAGACACCTATTGCTAGTTGGCAAAATAGACTTATAGATTCTTTGTGAAACATACTTAGTTGGTTATGTTATAGTAGGTTATGGTAAGTCAAATAGCGGATTTTAGTTAACTTTAGCTTTTTTGAACTGGGGCCTGTGAATAAAGCCTGTAGATCACATACCTCTCATCTGAATGGTGATTACTTAGGAGGCTCAGCTAATGATCTGCAGGTATACTAGACAAGGTGCCATTAACAACTATAGTCCAATACTTTATGATTTTTATATAAGATTATATATTTGGTACAGGCTTTACATTGGCCCGTGAATCATTAAGGGAGTTATGAAATTTGATTATAAAAATTGTAATTTTTATCATGACTGTCTTTTTTATTGTAGATATTAGATACTAGATAATTCAGTATCTAGGGAATATATTAAAACAAGCTCTTAGACTAACTTAAAGCTAAGTGACACCCATTCTTTGCATTTTCACTGTTAAGTAGGTTAAACTGAAATTGAAAGATTTAGGAAGACAAAAATTCCCTTCCTTGGCTCTTATCAAAATTAATAATATTAATAAATTAATGATGCAGATGTCACTTTGCTAAATGGACTCTTGAATGCCACAGTGTACAATAATCAATGGCAGCGTGTGTGAAGGACTAGTCTGCATACATGGGCGTTAAAAATCACATCTAATTTTTCTTTCCTTTAATCAACTGAAATTACATATGGCACCATACTCCCCATGGTGTAACGCTAAGCCAATAATTAATGAAATCCTAATAATTAAATGTGAAATTTCATTCCGTTATTAGCTTTGCTAATCAGTGTGGTGTAATGGTCATCATAGGTCTTCATAAGACTTCTTGAATTAGTTATTAGATCATCATAGGTCTTTATAAGACTTCTTGAATTAGTTATTAGATCATCTTGCTCTTTATAAGACTTTTCGAATTAGTTATTGCATCGTCATAGGGCTTTATAAGACTTTTTGAATTAGTTATGACCAATGGCTACAGTAATAAGCTTTCTACTTGTAGGTGGGAGATTAGGGGACATGTTGTTCTCCACGCGGGGGCATCACGCAGATGTTACGCAATTAATGAGCTTCATTCGAAGTTGGTGTCACGTGTGAACAGCAGTCTTCTGTCTAGTTGTAGAAGGATGCAAAAAAATACATCACTTGTTCACAATTGGCATTTAATGAATTATTTAGAAAGACTTATTTCCTCTGCTCACAGCAAGGACACAACAGTAAATTGCCGTCACTTTGGCATCATTTTGACATCATTTTGAATCAAATATACTAATAGTGGAGGTGTATTTATCCTATTTCACAACAGATGGAAATTCATGGTTCTTTCTCCCTCTCTTGTTTCCACTGTTACTACGTAACATTGGGGGACAGAAATGTTTCAGATAGATGGAGCTCCAAGAAAGGTCAACCTAACCTGGCTGTAACCACACCTTCAGAAACCATTTTCTTTAAGTTGTTGTTTCTCTTATTGATGTTGTTGTTCTGTTTTGATAGTTGATGTAAATCATCATCAGGAAGAAAAATGTGTTTCAATAAAGTTTTATAAATTTTACTGATTCCACATTGTTGATAGGCTTTTGTAGAGTGACAGTCATTTTCTGATCAACAAAAATGGCTGTAAAGTCATTTATCTTTATAGAAAATAATTATGTAACATGCCAATTATTAAAGTGGCAGTCATTAATTTTTAATTCTTTTGCAAAATCATTTAGGAAGGTGGATAATTCAGAATTATCATCTAAACTAGTGGCAAGTGCTTGTCCTAACAAAGTGAAAAAACTGTTAACTTTCATATAACAAGCTTGATTTGAACTCACACCTGAAGTCATCTAAGGAAAAATCTTTACTGTTTTGTTGATGTAGTTTCTTTTGAAAGAGATTCAGAAGGAAGTACATGTAGGTAACAGGCAAAACAGCAGTGGTTTCCTGGAGAGAGGCATTTTTTTCACCATGTCAAGATAGATTCAGAACTGGGATGGTAAGGTGGAATGATATCATTATACTAACCCCATGCTGAACATGTTTGATAATGTGAGTGGAAACAAGGGAAGCCAGAGACTTGCCTTCTCATCTTTTATACTCATCTCCCATTTAATGAGATACCCTAGAAAGGTTTTTNGTAGGCTATGGTAAGTCAAATAGCGGATTTTAGTTAACTTTAGCTTTTTTGAACTGGGGCCTGTGAATAAAGTCTGTAGATCACATACCTCTCATCTTAATGGTGATTACTTTTAAGGTTCAGCCAATAATCTGCAGGTATACTAGACAAGGTGCCATTAACAACTATAGTCAAATACTTAATGATTTTTATATAAGATTATACATTTGGTACAGGCTTTACAATGGCCCATGAATCATTAAGGGAGCTATGAAATTTGATTATAAAAATTGTAATTTTTATCATGACTGTCTTTTTTATTGTAGATGTCAGATACTAGATAATTCAGTATCTAGGGGATATATTAAAACAAGCTCTTAAACCAACTTAAAGCTAAGTGACACCCTTTCTTTGCATTTTCACTGTTAAGTAGGTTAAACTGAAATTGAAAGATTTAGGAAGACAAAAATTTCCCTTCCTTGGCTCTTATCAAAAATAATAATATTAATAAATTAATAATGCAGATGTCACTTTGCTAAATGGACTCTCTTGAATGCCACAGTGTACAATAATCAATGGCAGCGTGTGTGAAGGACTAGTCTGCATATATGCTCATTAAAAATCACATCTAATATTTCTTTCCTTTAATCAACTGAAATTACATATGGCACCATACTCCCCATGGTGTAACGCTAAGCCAATAATTGATGAAATGCTAATAATTAAATGTGAAATTTCATTCCATAACAGCTTTGCTAATCAGTGTGGTGTAATGGTCATCATAGGTCTTCATAAGACTTCTTGAATTAGTTATTAGATCATCATAGGTCTTTATAAGACTTCTTGAATTAGTTATTAGATCATCATGCTCTTTATAAGACTTCAAATTAGTTATTGCATCGTCATAGGGCTTTATAAGACTTTTTGAATTAGTTATGACCAATGGCTGCAGTAATAAGCTTTCTACTTGTAGGTGGGAGATTAGGGGACATGTTGTTCTCCATGTGGGGGCATCACGCAGATGTTACGCAATAAATGAGCTTAAATCCAAGTTGACGACACGTGCGAACAGTATTCTTCGGTCTAGTTGTAGCATGATGCAAAAAATGCGTCACTAGTTTGCAATTGGCAATTAATGAATTATTTAGAAAGGAAAAATTCTTGCTGTTCACAGCAAGGACATAACAGTAAATTGACGTCACTTTGACATCATTTTGATGACCTTTGCTGTCTTTGGAATCAAATGTTCAAACAGTGGAGGTGTTTTTAATCTTATTTCACGACAAATGGAAATTCAAGGTTCTTTCTCCCTCCTCTGTGTCCACAGGGGACAGAAAAGCTTCAGATAGATGGAGCTCCAAGAAAGCTCAACCTAACCTATCTGTAACCACACCTTCAGAAACCATTTTCTTCTATAAGTTGTTGTTTCTCTTACTGATGTTGTCGATCTGTTTTGATAGCTTATAAGAAGAACAAGTATTTGATATAGCATTATAACATCAAACTGTACACTGATTGTAGTTTTAATAGAAAAGAAGGAAGATTGAATTGAATACATTTCATTGTGTAGTCTGGGATATAGACAAAACATCAGAGCTCATATCATCTGCATGTAAGTGTCCAGGTTGTGATTCAGTATTCATCTTTTTATGGTATGATAATGTTGTAACAGCTTGGAATAATTGTAAT